GATTTCAAAGAAAAAATCAGAGATTAACTTTTTTCAATGACAAAGTGAGCCGTTTTACTACGATTCCAGCCATTGCCTTTAAGTTACAATGTAGTCATTGAAAGAATTATAGTTCTTCTTCTTGGCTTGTCCTCGCAAACGAAGATCAGGAAGGTTAGTTCTAAAAAAAGTCATGTTTGCGTTGTTATAATTTTGCAGTAATAACGTTACCAGCAAAAATAAAACCACTGTGAACATTTCAAGATTTACAGTACTTCACAGGAAAGTTTTCCTTTACTCCAGTGACTGCTAATTACCAGTAATTGATAGTACTGCTAGTTAATGAATACCATAAGGCTCATTTTTCTGGAGTTCATTTTCAACAACCACAATAGAGTGAACACTAATGGCACACATGGGGCTTCTGTTTAGGTGTCTATACAGCATCAGGACTATATTGGCATCAAGCCATGACAACAGCCTTTTTCAAATGATCCACCTGCTGAAGCAACTAAAGCTTTCCGCAAATTCCATAGGCTTACTGGTGTATACAGTTACCAGGCATGATCCTCTACTCCTTTCTTTATGTTTACCGAAGGAAACATATTCGTTTTTTTGCTGTTTCCTCTTCCTCTTCTTCTCCAAACCAATAAGGTCAATGACCTGAACCAGACATCTGTTACCATGGTAATAAGTGTTGGGTTACATCATGTTGCAATTTCATAGCAAGAGGGATTTAGACTCCTGTCTGACCACAATGAATATAAATGTGTTTGAGTGAGAAATTCCTTCGCTACTTTTCTTTTTTTAGCTGTACACTAACCAAGAAGCATCCTTGACCTTGTAGTTGTGGCCCATAGCCAAGACTGAACACTTTGGCAAGGCTTCATATTGCAATCAATTCATTGACAGAAACAGAAGACTGAATAAAAACAGGGCTTCAGTGGCCTTTTTCTGCAACAGTGCAGGGAACAATTGAAAATTACCTGCACCACTCAGCATCTAGGATTGAGTATGAATCACACTAAAAACTGTTAAGAAACCATTGCCATTATTTCTTTCAGTACTCCATTCGAAACGTAGGCCAATGCATAAAAATTAAAATCAACATAAGGCCATGTTGATTTGATTATATGGATGACATCCGCGCGCGCATGAATTTTCGGCCGTTTCCAAAAAAAAAAAGTTTTCAACCATACTGTAAATCGTACAAAACAGTTGCAAAATGAGCAAAAATACACCATAAGTTACAGAAATATTAATAAAACCCATACCAATGTCGTAGAATGCCAAAATCAAACAAAAAAGACGAAATTGTAAAGAAATGAACTTGAAGACTAGATTATTCGCCAAACCATATTCTGTGCCATTTGCTCAACCCTCATGACCACGTAGATTTCATAATGAAAAGAACTTTTTTTTTTGCAAAACTTTTTTTTTATTCGCACGCGCGCATCAGTTTTGGGGCTCCCGGAGGATGTCATCCATATAATCAAATCAACATGGCCTAACCTACATGTGCACAATTGTGGATAAACCCAAGTACATGGACCAGTGCAGGTAATGAAAATAGACATCAGAAATACCTGCAGAGCTCTACCTGTACAGCTGTATATGCAGGTGTTATTTCATAGCCTGTGTAACATTTTCTACCCAAAAGTGCAAGAAGCCACTTTACCAAACGGATGGCACCCAGGCTAGGTATTTCGAGCTACCCTGTCCTGAACTTTTGGCCTGACAGTTTACATAAGGGTGATATGTAGGTTACAGGAAGAATCCATACTGTATCACTCTGAGGTGACCTGTAACATACTGGATATACAACTTCTGGGTTACCGACTTGGGTCAGAGAGACCACCCAAAAATCAATGTTAGGTGAGGCCCTCTTGGCTATAAGGTCTGCCCAAATTCTAATTTAGAAATTTTTACTGCTTCAAATTTTTCAAAAACTTGAGAATTTGTACTGTGAATAATTCCATCAGGTTGGCAAGAAGCTGTATTATAAGAGCACTTCAGCAAAATGTATTGTGCCTGCGCAAAACCCTGATTTTTCACTGTTTTCTTTGGATTTTTGGTCAACGTTGCAACAGAATTTTGCCTGTTGCAGAGGATACCTTTTCCAACACAACATTTGGAAACTACAGACGGAATGTCAACCTTATATACATCAATACAACCTTATATGAGACGTTCTGACGAAGTGCTGTGCATAGTGATGCATACCGGTTCAGTGGACTTGGATCCGGACTTGTAAGAATGTTTAGGTTCAAGTCCAAAAAAAAATAAAAGTCAAGAACTGAGTCCGGACTTACTATAAAAGACCATTTCACATACCCCTTTTCTTTCCAAACCACCTAAAACCTTCCATAGATTGTAAAATCTTTGCTGCAAAATGAAGAAAACATTGCCATCGGGCATCGTCAAGTACCGGCCTCCATGTCTTGTGGCCAAAGTTTCACCCAGAAAATATTGCAAGGTTGCCAACATGCAATTTTGTATATGCCATGGGTTTAGGTCCGGACTTACAAGTCCGGAACTGAACTTAAACCTCTGGACTTGAATCCGGACCTGAACCTAAAATTGGGTTTAGGTATGCATCACTAGGCCTGTGCACAATACATTACACTACTGTAACAGGTTTCACACAGGTGCAGTACGTTCTGCTGGTGTGCTTATTATAAGAAGGTTCTTTATTTGACATCCAGGGGTTTTCACATCCGGACGTTTGGCAACCAATTCTCTATTGGTTATGGGGTTAGCCAGCAGGAAAGAAGGTTTGTACACAGTATAGATAGACCTCCATAAAAGAAAACTGCTAACTGTAGAAAGGCTGACATTTGCTTTGAAGCAAATGCAGCAGATGGCTTCACCACATCCCCCATACCAAAAATGGACCTATCCTCCTCCCGCACAAATTGTTCCTAAACGGACTAAAAGGACTGTTCCTAAATTCAGATTTAATACCAGGGCTCCAGATCCCAAAATGTATATTTTTTGCCTAAAAATAGCCCAAAAAAAGACAATTCCAAAGGCGTGTATCCAAAATATGAAGAAAAAAAATCTGGGGGTATTTGCCCACTCTACCTTCATGCCAAATTTCATGTTATTTGGCCCCAAAATGGCAGAGTTGAATCCCTTTAAAGAAATGGCAGGAAAAGGAGAAGGAGAAACATGAGGGAAAACAATGTCACTTTGTGGTGTGGTGAAGCCATAAAAACTGGGATCACACATTTGCTTGTAGATTTCAGACCACCGGCTGCCTAGTGTTAACACAGACCATTGAGTGAACAGACTGTCTACTAGACACTTGTCCTCCTGAGATACAGATAGAACAGTCCCCTGAGAAAATGGAGTACAACTTTTGTTCACTCAGGAGAAAGTACTGAACACATTAGTGAGGGCCTGCAAGGGGGGGTCCCGACAACACTCTACGCTGAATTTGGAAACCTCTCGATTACGCTTTACGATAAAATCCAAGTGGCTACAACGCATTACGTAGAATTAAAACACTGAATACGCTCTACGCAAAAATATAAGAGCGGTCCGTCTCCGCTCTACGTAGAATTAAAACGGCCGATTACGCTCTACGGAAAAGGGCTTGCGGGCCCCCATTAGTCTGAAGAGATGTGTGAGATGAGTGAATGGTTAAGGAAAGTAGCGTGGATGCCAGACACTTAGCAGGCGACCTCATACCTTCAGCTATCCCCTTTAGGGAAAAAAACCTATGTTCCTAGACTGGTAGTTAAATTTCCAAGGGGCATGTTGGCCCTAGAAACAAGGAGTTGGCCCTGGAAACAGCCTGACATCCAGGCTATGGGGAAAAGAGACTGGGAGGATCAAAGAATTTATGTCTCTTTCTAAAGAGGCATACAAGAAAGTGGTACATTGTAGCAGTAGTACTGACAAGTGACAGTGAAATAAAACATGCACAGGATCTAGAATGGAATGAAAACGTGGGTAGAGAGAGTTAACTGTTTTCAATCTCTACTAGACAATACAAATACAAAGATTTCAGAACCCATTACCACAAAATATTGAATTTCATAGTCATACACAGCATTCCTGTCAGAGGGGTGTTATGGCACCTTTGAAGTTTTTTTGTGGAGGGCAGTTTCAAGTTTAACTGTCGTGAAAAACAGTTTGAAAAAACTTATCATTCAATCACTAACTTGTGTTCTTTCTTGATACAAGGCTCGAAATACTGGGTGCATGTGCACCTTAGTGCACCCAAAATTGGAGCTGTGCACCCAATTTTTTTACCGGTGCACCAAAGTATTTTTGTAGGTAATTTTTACATATCAAATGTATCATAGTGTACATGATATTCTTGGCATCTAAGTGTCATAAAAATAATAAAATCTTTGTTGAAGTACTTGTTTAAGCTTTTGAAGTTAGCTCCCATTTCGGATTCAACCTCAGAAGAGAACCAGTAACATCTGTAATTAGGTTTTGTTTTATATGGTGCACCCAATTTTTTAGGTTGGGTGCACCAGTGCACCTATTCCCAAAAATGAATTTCGAGCCCTGTTGAGATGAATTGTCCAGCTGCCCTCAATAGTGATGCATACCGGTTCACTGGACTTGGATCCGGACTTGTAAGAATGTTTAGGTTCAAGTCCAAAAAAACCTAGTAAAAGCCAAGAACCGAGTCCGGACTTATTACCATAAAAGACCATTTCACATACCCCTTTTCTTTAGAAACCACCTAAAACCTTCTGTAGATTGTAAAATCTTTGCTGCAAAACGAAGAAAATATTGCCATCGGGCATCGTCAAGTACCGGCCTCCATGTTATGTGGCCAAAGTTTCACCCAGACAACATTGCAAGGTTGCCAACATGCAATTTTGGGTTTAGGTCCGGACTTACAAGTCCGGAACTGAACCTAAACCTCTGGACTTGAATCCAGACCTGAACCTAAAATTGGGTTTAGGTATGCACCACTAGCCCTCAATATCCAACAGGGATGCTGTATTGATTGTATTTTGTCCCATGGAAAGCACAATTTAGAACTTTCTTCCTACCTTCTCTCCTGATGGCTTCTTCTTCTTGACCACGCCCGTTTTGAGGATGGGTCCTTTCCGTTTCCCCACCTGAAGCGAGGCAGAGACAGACTACCACATTAGACATGTACACATCACTGACTTCACACCTTGAAGTCTTAAACTACTGTATGTATCACTGTCGATCTGGAGACAATCGTGCATCCTCCACAGTCTGCAGGTAATGTTGTCACCTTCCCGAGCTGCATCATCGTTTCTATTACTGTCATTATAGCATTCCGCAGACAGGGGGCGCTAGTGTACGACCAGCACAGACCTGCGACCACGGCCGATGGCTGCCGGCGTCCACAGCTCCGGATGTCTGTGACGCTCTGATTGGCTAGAAGAGAAGGGAGAAGAAAGAAAAGGGTGTCAGGACGGATACCTGACCTGGCCATACCTCCAGCTTCCAGCCTTTTTTTTTTGTTTGTTTGTTTTGCGTAACCAGTAAACCACCTTTAGGCCACAGCAAGTAAATATTATGGATGACATCCTCCGCAGACTCCAAATCCAATGCGAGCGGGCGTAAAAAAAAAAGACGGGTCGAAAAAAGCAAAGTTCCTACATTTGGAAATTTTGACTCAATCGCTGTACAAATAGTTTTGATTCAGTGGAACATCACATATACACAGCCAGCATCACATATCACTGCATCAAAAAAAGAAACAAAACATTAAATCAGAGCCCTTTTTGTCTCCTCTCTATAGTTATATCTGCCATCCACATTCCGGCATGGCGACAGACATCTTTGCTCATTTTCGGGATGTTGACCACTGTCAGAAGGCAACAAAATTTCTTTTTTTTTTTTCAAAAATCAGTCCAAAATTAATGTGCGCGCTGATGTCATCCATAAAAATTACTTGCTGTGGCCTTAGGTGTACACCAGTTTAATGTACATGTAAGTAAAAGCTATGTAAGACCGGACTGTAAGGTTTAAGCCACTCACACCAGGAAGGCCCCCTACTCTTTTCGATAAGTGCGGTGAGTTCTTTAACGTGCGTGGGGTTTGACTATCCCCAAACACGGGACCTTAGACTTCAGCCAATGCATTAACGGCATGATCATATACTACATGTATATCAACAGCCTGGTCTAAGTCAAAGAACTAATTCAGGTCTCTCCCTCTCTATTGATCCATCTCATTACTTTTATGGTGTCCCTGATGTACAGTTGCTGTTAACCTTTCAATGTCAAAGTCGACTAAAACTATGGCTTCCACCTGGCCTGTGACACCTGGGAGAGTGTAAAGTTGCAACACTGGGTCCCACCTGTGGGCTGTAGGTATCCATTATGCAAGGTGGGTACAGCTGGTGAGGACTAGGGAAAAAATGTTATGCTTCCCGTTTAAGGCCACACCAATTTAATTTCTTGGTTAACGGATTTTTCTAGAAAAATAATGGAGAGGGCGGGCGAAAAAAAATAAAAATAAAAACAGGCCTAGGCATCCTATTATGGCCCAAAACGGTAGGATAGGAGCCATGAAGTCAACACACCAGGCTGGTTCAAAATTTAAACACTTTTAATGATACCACTGCATTGAAAGATGGAATAACTGTAACAACTAGGAAGAAAAGGACTGTTTTCAACTGTTCAGGGCAAAATATGAGCATTTTGCAGTTGATTCTGAATTTTTATTTTTTATTTTCAAATCAGAAAAAATGAAGCGGGCGAATCCGTTAACCAAGAAATTTTAATTGG